TAAGAGAGTAGAGAGAGAGAGAGAGAGAGAGAGAGGTTTCTTGGTTGGTGCGGAGTGTTGCAACCTAAATTGAAAAAAGATATGCAGAGGAAAGAGACCAAGAGAAGGACAGGGTTAATAGCAGTGAGGAATGTTGCGGGAAAGAGAAGGGATTAGAGAGAGGGAGAGAGTAGGGTTGGGTGAGAGGCAGGACGAAGGAGGTGGGTGGAAGAGCCGCTTGGAGGAGAACGTGCGTGGTGGAGCTTTGACATAGAAAGGAGGCATGTGGAGAAGCCTTGAGAGGTTCCTAGAGAAGCTTTGAGAAACAAAGGAGGAGCATGGAGGCGCCTTGGTAGAGAAAGTAAAGGGATGAGAAATATTTTCTTCCTTTGGGGGGGGGGGGGCTGCAAATAAAAACAGTAAATCAGTTATTTCTGCGATTAAAAATATTTTTTTTTTTTTTGGGGGGGGGGGGCACTATGCCTAGAAAGTGTGGTCCAAAACTTTATAAATGCAAGCATAATAAAAATAGATGAAGAGGGCAAAATGGGATGAACTAGAACGCTGGCTCACAGGGAATCATGTTTTTGAGTTTGCACTTCCTATAGTCTGTCCGACAAACTAACTAGCAGCCAAACGACTTGCTAACTGCTACCCAAGCTAGCAGCTAACGGATAAATGAGAATGCCTAGTTGTATCAATGTACTGTAAGTTTGTTCGTGAGACTGGCTAAAGTTATCTATGAAGTAGAAAACCATACATTCCCTTGCATAAAATACTTAGAAACTCTAGGACAGTGCTTTCTAACAGACAGCTCCATTATATTTGGAGATTTCACATACAACTAAATTCACAAAATCAAAATCTTCGATATATCAAAATGGAAAAAAAATTATAGCAGCAGCTAAAGAAATGCATTGGGTCTCAATGAAATTCCAATGTGTAACTTATCTTTTCTTTTTAAAAGATCCTCAATAGACATGCAGGAGTTGATAAGAAATACTTCACACAGAATACTAGGAAACTAGAAAAGGCAAAAAGAAACAAGGTAATGACATGTACAAGAAACATGGCTGATGAAGAGTTACGCAACACTCTATCCATGCATACTAAAGACAACAGTATAAAATATAAGAAGAGGAAATTCGAATCTTAGTAATAAATTGTGAGATAGGGCGTTTCAGTCAACTATACAGGGCTTCAGGTGCTATGTTAAAAACAGCTCGAACAAGTAACTGAAATATATGATCTCATGCATCAGAAGAAGAATGTTTCCCAATCATGGTACAGAGATCCAACTATATATGGTGATAACTAAATGGTAGTAACATATTAATCATGATGATTAATATCTTAAAACATATAATATCTTAAAACATATAATATTTAAGATATGTTTTAAGATATCATCATGATGATTACTATCTTAAAACATATTAATCATCATGTTATATATGAGATAACTAAATGGTAGTAACATATTAATCATCATCATCATGGCCTTTTCCCAACTATTTGGAGTAGCAACCTATTAATGTTTGACAAAACGATTCCGGGCTATATAAATACTTCTATGTAACTTGTCATCATCTAACTTCTCTTCATACATCATAATCTCATAACTGAGGCAGAGTCCTGAGATTGTTGGCATAAACAAAGTAGATCTTCAGGGTTTGGGGACTCAGGTCATACTATATCACCAATCCAAGAACTGTTCATCAAATAGAGTACAATCCCCCAAAATCCAAATTGATGCTGCTATAGCAAGAGCTAGCAGTTCCGGCAGTGTCACTGGGGAAACATATAAAAAGTTACTGAAAGAGTTATGCAGTATATCTTGATATTGAAGAATCCATGGGCCCCGAATCATATGTGACCCTAGCCATTGTTTGCAACTAAATAAAGGATTCTTCAGGAACGACTATCCAAATGTCATCTGCTAGCTGGAAGGGGGGACCCTCTGGTACCTTGAAAGTTAGGGAGAATTTTTCCTAAATATGTATCCATTCTTCATATTTTATATTTCGGTTTCCCTTTCATTCTTAGGGAAGCAAACACAGAGGCAGGTACCAGTGAATATGAATGTATACAGGGATAGCTCGGGGATATAGGTTTTCTTTGATATAAATATCATTATTTTTTTACTGGTTTTTGGACTTTCTTACAGCATTTTTCTCCTGAAATAATTTTAGCATTTGTCGAAAACAAACTAAATATTGAGATAAAGGCGCTAGCATCACATGCAATCCATGTCTCAGATTAAGATCAGATTAAAAATTTCTCTAAAACAAATGAAAATTAACCAAAGAATACACAGTTGCTTGCAATAAATAGTCCACCAAACTCTAGCATTTCTTGATATAGCATTAATAAATGTTAAAAGAGATACAATCCAATGTTTTCATCCCTGTGCAAAAGCACACAGTCCATGCCTAGAACCCATCCATGCAGAAAAGGTGGGTATTTTTTTCTTTCAATTCTACACATTCTCCATAATTGTAACAAATTATTAGAAACATAAAATGACCTTTCAGTAAAGAAACATACGCAAGATTATGGCTAGTAAGTCATCTTTATTGACAAAAATAAACACACCCGGGCACTTAACTCACAAACAATGGGTTTCTGAGACTCACAATTTTATATGATAGTAAGTCACCGGTGCCATTAACAAAAACATAAACCAATGCCATGTTAAAAGAAAAAGTGCAGATAGCACCCCTTGAGTCACAAACTCTGGCATGATTATTGCATTTATACGAGATGAAGAATCGTATGGGTTGATATAGTCATATTCCAAATCCGATAAGCAAATAAGCTGCATCCACAATTCAACAAACGAAAAGGTGAAACACAATCAGAATATGTAACACGCATGCATGTCATGCTTCATAAGAACAGATGGATAAGAAAGATAACATTACCCCAAGCATACATATTACAAAGTGTATTTAAACCAGCCAAAATAAGGTGTTGATTATGTGCGAATGCCAATCAAACCAAACAATTAAATAAGCTTCATTTTTGTATCATACATCCCTGTCAAATAGCATCCAAATATACTTTTTCTTTTTTTGTTAGCATCCAAATATACTTAGAATCATTGTTTCTTGCATTCAAGTATGGAGTCACAGAACAGATGATATCAAGGACTTCTTTTCCACCACAGAAACAAGACAGGAGACAAGAAATCCATATATCCATGAAAATAAGTTTCATTTATGCTGGCTCAAATAATAGTCATGAACTAACGAAAATAATTGAATAATAATGGAGATTATTGCAGCATAATGTAAGTTATTACTCCATTTGTTTCAAGAGTTCACACCATTCCATTTTTCTTTTGCTTTCTATCAAATGGGTTAAGCACATGTTCAAAATAGCAGGATGGCAACAGTCAAATGGGACATGTTTGTAATATAACATAGAGAGACCAGATTAGGAACCTAAGGGAATATATCCAGAAATGCTGGATGCGAAACACAATGCAAGGAATGAAGTTCGAGGTCCGAGATGATAAAGAAGCTCCTGAGTGCAAAGAGGATCAAGTCAATTGTAGCTCACTCAAAAATGGGTATGCATAAATAGCAGTTGGCAGGTATCAGGTGTTTTTTGTGGTGGACTTCTAGAGTGGGACAGAGACACTGGGCCTTGGTTGCTTGGAGTTACAAAGGTTCCCTCGGTACAGAAGGATCAGGGTGGAGGAAGTATTCAACAAGCAAAAGTGGCTTTGTACCACTTGTCAAGAAGATTTGCTTAAAAGAACAAGTCAACTCATTATTCTTGTCACTACAAGCATAAGTATATGCTCCCTTTCAAGTATGGAAACATAATCATACTTGGGTGCCCGAGCCATTTTTTTTTTTGGAAAGACAAGCCATCAGGGGTTTTCTTGTTTAGATATTTTTACAGCGCCCTAATTACTGTCATAGAGCTGCTTCTTTAAAAAGGGAATCGGTTGGCACCCATCCCTGCACAAAATGGAAACTTTAGTTTTTAATGAGAGACAATGTCTAAGCGGAGAATCAACTACCATATGAGGGCTTCCTCTTCCTGAATTTAATTGTGTATGTAGGGAAAATGAAGAGTTTGTAGTGTCTTCGTGCCTAACTGCCTATGTTACAAGCTAAAGCCTCCCATCCAGGGTGATGTTCCAGCCCTGAACTCTGGCTCTGCAATTCAAGGAAGGGAGTAGAAAGGAATTGTGGCTCCCTCTTGCCACTGTCTTCGTCAACAATCTATCCAAAACAGATATTAACGCACGCACGCGCACACACACACACACCACACACACAGACACACTTCCACATTCAAACATATATACACACACATATGCATCTATAGATATATAGATAGACACAAAAGACAAAGGGGACGCACATCACATGCAAAGGCATACACATGCACACAAAAACACAAAAAAGCCCGGTTTGGACAGCTGAACAATATCAACAAGAAAGTTAAGTTTATTTTTGCAGGTATGTGGATATTTTGGCAGCTTTCTCTTTGACAAGAGGTGTTACAAAAGTCTGTCACACACGAATATAGAAGCACAGCAAGCAGGGCGGTTTTTCACTCCTAAGGGATGGAAGAAATAAAGGGCCCTGTTCCTAAAATTTGGCTCATCAAAGGAGGGCCAGATAGTGAGGTTCTTGAGCGAATTGCTTTGAATTTTATTTTTTTTCTAAGAATAGACATTTGTGATTCCGTATTGTATAATGTAAAATATAAATAAGCCATGCAGATTGCAGAATACAATGCAAGAAATAGTAGGAAATGAATACTATAATGTGAAATATAAATAGGCCATGCAGATTGCAGGATACAATGCAAGAAACAGTAGGAAATGACTACTACGAATAGCTAGAGATATATACTAATCAATCAAGTTATTTAGTATGGTTTCTTGGAAACTCTGTGCATTCTTCCCAACAAGTCCTCAATCACCCACCTATGCATTCCATTCAAAATACCGAGGTGACAACGGCATTTTTGTCCAAACTATGACAGACAGTCCTCTCATCTCATATTTAGTATATTGTTCTATTCATTCACATATGCTGTCCAACCTGAAGATGTCCATCCCAAAGGACCCAAACCTCAATCAGCAACCGCTACTCAATCCATTTAGGAGTTCTATCACATCAAGTAGGAGCTTTTCTTTTCTTTTCTTTTCTTTCTTCCACCCCCACCCCCCCCCCCCCCCTTCCTTTCTCTCTCCCCTCACTTATTTGTGGATCTCTGGGATTACTTGGAATCTCAAGACCAACTGATGTCCTCAGGGCCTTGAAATTAGGACCTTGACACCCTATAGGGTGCTTCATTATTCGTGCATTTGATTTCTAGAAGCAGCAGCTTCCAGAGTCATCACTTCCAAACATTGTAGAACTTTGCCTGTTTGGTAGGGGGAAGTGCCACAATATTTGGAAGCTGCAGCTTCCTTCCATGTTAAAAATCACATTGAAAAGTGGAAGTGGCAGCTTCCATTGGGGGCCATGGAAACCATCGCTTCCACATCCTCGGGAAGACATGGCTCCGAAAGCCACACCTTCCCAAATTCAAACATGCTCTATAGGTTGAGGTGTATGAATTGATAGTACATTTATTAAAAATACATCAATTTTATAGTGAATTTATCCACTCTAGAAGGATGGCTCCGAAAGCCACACCTTCCCAAATTCAAACATGCTCTATAGGTTGAGGTGTATGAATTGATAGTATATTTATTAAAATTACATCAATTTTATAGTGAATTTTCTTGTTTAGATATTTTTACAGAGCCCTAATTACTGTCATAGAGCTGCTTCTTTAACAAGGGAATCGGTTGGCATCCATCCCTGCACAAAGTGGAAACTTTAGTTTTTAACAAGAGACAATGTCTAAGTGGAGAATCAACTACCATACGAGGGCTTTCTCTTCCTGAATTTAATTGTGTATGTAGGGAAAATGAAGAGTTTGTAGTGTCTTCGTGCCTAACTGCCTATGTTACAAGCTAAAGCCTCCCATCCAGGGTGATGTTCCAGCCCTGAACTCTGGCTCTGCAATTCAAGGAAGGGAGTAGAAAGGAATTGTGGCTCCCTCTTACCACTGTCTTCGTCAACATTCTATCCAAAACAGATATTAACGCACGCATGCGCACACACACACACACCCCACACACAGACACACACTTCCACATTCAAACATATATACACACACATGCATCTATAGATATATAGATAGACACAAAAGACAAAGGGGATGTACATCACATGCAAATGCATACACATGCACACAAAAACACAAAAAAGCCCGGTTTGGATAGCTGAACAATATCAACAAGAAAGTTAGGTTTATTTTTGCAGGTATGTGGATATTTTGGCAGCTTTCTCTTTGACAAGTGGTGTTACAAAAGTCCGTCACACACGAATATAGAAGCACAGCAAGCAGGGCGGTTTTTCACTCCTAAGGGATGGAAGAAATAAAGGGCCCTGTTCCTAAAATTTGGCTCATCAAAGGAGGGCCAGATAGTGAGGTTCTTGAGCGAATTGCTTTGAATTTTATTTTTTTTCTAAGAATAGACATTTGTGATTCCGTATTGTATAATGTGAAATATAAATAAGCCATGCAGATTGCAGGATACAATGCAAGAAATAGTAGGAAATTAGTACTATAATGTGAAATATAAATAGGCCATGCAGATTGCAGGATACAATGCAAGAAATAGTAGGAAATGACTACTACGAATAGCTAGAGATATATACTAATCAATCAAGTTATTTAGTATGGTTTCTTGGAAACTCTGTGCATTCTTCCGAACAAGTCCTCAATCGCCCACCTATGCATTCCTCTCAAAATACCGAGGTGACAAGGGCATTTTTGTCCAAACTCTGACAGACAGTCCTCTCATCTCATATTTAGTATATTGTTCTATTCATTCACATATGCTGTCCAACCTGAAGATGTCCATCCCAAAGGACCCAAACCTCAATCAGCAACCGCTACTCAATCCATTTAGGAGTTCTATCACATCAAGTAGGAGCTTTTCTTTTCTTTTCTTTTCTTTCTTCCACCCCCACCCCCCCCCCCTCCCCTTGGGATTACTTGGAATCTCAAGACCAACTGATGTCCTCAGGGCCTTGAAATTAGGACCTTGACACCTTATACAGGGCTTCATTATTCGCGCATTTGATTTCTAGAAGCAGCAGCTTCCAGAGTTATCACTTCCAAACATTGTAGCACGTTGCCTGTTTGGTAGGGGGAAGTGCCACAATATTTGGAAGCTGCAGCTTCCTTCCATGTTAAAAATCACATTGAAAAGCGGAAGTGGCAGCTTCCATTGGGGGCCATGGAAGCCATCGCTTCCACATCCTCAGGAAGACATGGCTCCGAAAGCCACACCTTCCCAAATTCAAACATGCTCTATAGGTTGAGGTGTATGAATTGATAGTATATTTATTGAAATTACATCAATTTTATAGTGAATTTATCCATTCTAGAAGGAATAATAAATAAGGTATGTGCTAACATGCAAGTAAATAAGTTTTAACTTCTCATAAACCCTGGATTTCCGAAATCCCTAAATCTTCATCTTGAGGCAAATGTGAACCCTAAAGACAGAAATATAAAAAATCCCAACTCGAAAATTAGAAGAAATATTTTCTTTCTATTGATTCAAAAGAGATTAATATGAAAAAAATACACATTTATCTTTGCTTCTGATCTAAACTTTTCCTTCATATTTATTTCTAAACAAAAACTGACAAATTTGTTGCTAGTAGTATATCTAGATGTCATAAGAACTGATACACAGGCCCCAGTTACAATAAGGCTACAGATTCCTGGCCATCCAAATGATGGACATAGTTTAGTGCACGCAAACCATAAAGTGGCCTCAATAGAGGTTCATCATGACTCCTTACCTGATAATCATTGCAAACCCGATAAAGTAAGTAGCATTGACAGTTTGCAAAGAGTTTTCTGGACCATTATTCATTTATTAATGTGCACAAGTTTCATTTATTCTTGCTTTATCTTGCACATAAAAGTGTGTGGTATTTCCATCATTTATATTTAGACCCCAAAACATCTTGCATTTGTATGTCCTTACTGACAACAGCAGTGCTTCTTCCTCCTCCATTGCTCCACTACTCTTTAAAATGTTTCGACCCTTCAGTCGAGTAGACATTAAGTATGCACAAGATAGGAATGGATAGGAGTTAGGCATGCAAGCAGATAGAACATGGAATGGATATCATTAGACAAAATCTTTGCAGATACGGTATCCAGTAACGGAAATAATGGTACGAGCCAAGAGATGTTGGTCGAGAAATGTATGAGGAGGGGGAGGATAAGGTGATCAGGTAGTCATGCTTCAGGAGGACTTAAAGGAATGGAATTAGTGATAGGGTTTTAATAAGCACTAGGAGGCCATGGGAGGCTGGACGAGTAGTCGGGAACCTTGGTTTTGAGGTGCCCCAGTCTTACATATATGCATATACAATAAACTAATGCATGTAAAACTAATTACACAGAATGCCTTAAGAACGCATATAATAAACTAAAGGGCTCCTGCCTTGCCCTGCGGAAGGCACATAGGCAAGCTGTCCTAGGTGCCAGAGGTGAGCACGGCGCTTTTTTAAAACAGTGATATCAGAAGCTAATCAGTAGGTTATCTAGAAGAACTAATTATCCTGCACATAGGTCTTGAAAGGATTCCATGGTGCGACATGCGATAGTTCTAGTTCATATTGTTCATAGGGAGCAATATACCACAACTGGGATATATCCAGGCCCCATCTTACAATCAATATTTTAATAAGTCGGTTACCCATGATGAAATCCAGACAACCGCCCAGATCAAAAACAACTTAAAAATAATTTGAAGTTTTAAGCTAACTTTTGGTAGACGAAATCAAAAAGATAACTAAAAATGGCGTCAAAGGTTTCATAGTTCTCAAACGTCTTAGGAAGTTTTTTGGACAAAGTTTTGAATTTTGATGTCCATTTTTAAGTTTTGGTTACTTTATGGGAACCTCCAACTTGTTGGCAAGGTTTTTGAGATCTGGCTTATCGTTAGAAAATAACCATGTGGCACATCAAAGGGAATTTTTTTGGACCTTTTTTGGATTATTTTTGTTGGATTTTTAGTGAAAGAAACATATGGTATTAACCAAAATTACCCACATGCAAAGGATGAGAGATAATATTTAATAGGTTCAACAAAGCTATCTTGCTTTCCTGGTCATGAAGAAGTTTTGTGTAACTGTAAGGTTTTTCCCAATGATTTAAAAATCGGCAAGTCCGGTTCGACTCGGGAATCGGCACAGCCCGTGCCGGTTCCAGTACAAAACCGGGAACCACCCGGTTCTAGAGCAAAACCGCTGGTTCCCACCCGGTTCTATCCGGTTCCCTCTCGATTCTAGCGGTTCCCACCCGGTTCTGTCCGGTTCCCTCCCGGTTCTAACGGTTCCCTCCCGATTCCAACCTCAAAAGCACATTCACACATGTGTACGCGTCACACGTGCAACACGCACCACTCCCACACGTGTGTACGTGTGACACGAGCGGTAAACACTCCCACACGTGCCACACACTCCCAAACGTACCATACGCACATGCACGTGTGCACCGGTATACACTCCCACAAGTGCTACACACACGTGCCATACGTGCGACACGCACATGCATGCGTGCACGTGTGCACAGGTTCTAGTTGGTTCCGGCCTCAAAAACACTTTCACATGTGTGTACGCGTCACACGTGCGACACGCACATGCACATGCACACGTGCACAAATGCCCTAGTGTTTTCACACTTGTGTTTATTTTCCAATTACATAATCATTTAATGATGTAGGATAATTCCCAAACATCATTAAATGAAAACAAAATGTAAATATATGCTATTAATAGGTAATTTTGAACACATATGTTAAGGAGGCATGATGGTTATCATTAATGTTATTTGCTTTGACTTCTCAAGTTCGAATCCCCCCTTGGGCCATATAATAGTTTATCCCCTTTTGAGCTAATTTTTGTTCCCCCCTGAGCATATAATAAATCAAAGTGTTATTTCCAAAATTTGTACGCATTTTATTAATTTTGACATTGATAACCAAATCTTTTATTTTATTTATTAATTTTTACATTATAAATCATGTAATGTACTATTTTTCTTACAATTGTCAATAATACATTTTAAATTAGATAATATTATAAAATATTTTTAATTTGTTATTATTTATCTAATAAAATAATTATAAATATAAACTAATAATTATAATTTCAATATATAATATTATAATTAGTTAGGTTGTAATAATTTTGGATTATAGTTAGTTAGGCTGTAATAATTTGGGTTTTTTTAGCAGATTAGGGTTTTTCGCCAAAACGAGATTTTAATGGCCATTCTTCATTGATTTAGTCTACTCTTTATTATAGTCCATGTGAAATTATATATTTTATCCATGATAGTTCTATGATTTTTCTTTTATGTGATGCAAATTTAACACTTAAGTTTATACAGGAAAAGAGAATCTCAATATTCACAAATTGATGCAAAAAATGAAAGTTAATAATGTAGTTCCCTCATTTCTTATTGGATTCCTAAAAAACAACATTTATAATGAGTTTTAATAATTTTACGGATTTTTTTGAAGCTTTAATTCGACCGATTCAGCCGATTCCCGATCCGGATCGCCGATTCACCAATCCGGATCGGTTTTTGAGGTGCCCGATCAGGGTCACCGATCCGCTTTTTAAACCATTGGTTTTTCCCATGGAAGGAGAGTTTAGTATAATGTCATGAAAAGCTATACCTGAGTGTTAGAGCTATATCTTAAAGAAGAATCAATTAATTCACACTGTAATTAATTCCCACAAAAAACTTTATTGTGGTACTTCAATCAAGCAGTCCAGGGCAATCAATAAATTCACATTCTACTTGAATATTCTCGATTTTTTAGTTTATTTATTATTTAAGGTCGTTTATGTTATTGTTTTGAAAATTATCGGAAAAATGAGAGGCAGTATTCCTGATCCTCTTTTCTGAAAAATTTGCCATGTCCTGTGTTCATCTCCATTTCATAGTAGTGACCCACATGTTCAAGTCAGTTGACATGGCCATGATTCGATCAAGAGAAAAAATTTGCGGTGGTTTCTGGTAATTAGCAGTTTACCCTAGGGTTTAGGGTTTAGCTTAGATGACTCAAAGGTAAACCCCTATCCAACAAAGTTCATGCCACTAAAGCAAACCCAGGTACCACGCATCTTTAAGATAATTTAACATGCATTGTTCTAACTAGAATAATCTTGAAAAAATTTCATATCATCTGAGCTGCTCCCAAATAACCCAAGAACTGGCAACTGTTAAGACAAATGTGTATATTTATTAAAACAATTCCATGAACTATAAGTAGTTACCAATAATCCAAAGCCTCGAGCAAATTCTATCGCCAAAAAAAATTACCTATAGAGATAGGAAACCGCAACAAATATGCAGAAATCATTTTCAAAAGTAAAACTCAAAATATCAAATTAGTGAACAATCGCTATAATTGAGTAGGGATTTTACAGGAGATAGTTTACCTGATACACCAACACACCGAGAAGAGATATGGATATGAAGAAGCAAATTAGCCATAGCCACACTTCCCAGACCATATTAATGGGGTTTCAGACCAGAAGGAAAATTCCGCCTATAATAACTCTGACATTCAAATTTTCACAGACATGGAATCTGACTCCGCTACCATAAACTATTGAAAACCACAACGATCGAGCAATACAGGGAGAGAGAAGAGAAAGGTATTCTCACTAGACGATATTCATATTCTAGAGAGAGAGAGAGATAGAGAGTTAAACCCTTGGTAATGGCGGAGAGGAAGATGTTCTTCCTACTAAAAAACACACGGAGACGCTCTTCTTATTTGCGGTTAGAGAGAGAAGGGAAAGTTCGTAGAGAGAGAGAGAGAGAGAACTTCCCAGGAGCCGAGACGGGCTTCTCCTTCGCTGGATCTCGCTGATGTATTTTGAAACTTTACCAAACTACCCTTACCTATCCACAAAGATTTGTATGAAGCCAAAAGGAAAGTACACCGCAATGCGTATTACGTTCCTGAGGCTCTAAACAATCAAATTAGAGCCATCTTCAAATAGTTTCGAGAAATATCGTTTATGTACTGGAAAGTTTTGTGATACTGGAAAGTCTTTTTGATAGCCTTAAATTATAGGAAAAAGTTTATATAGGGCCTAGGCTCTAAACAATTAATTTAGAGGCTACCTCAAAAATTTCACTACAAAATGTTGTTTTGAGGTTCAAATATCCTCAAATTGATCATCTCAACATCAAGATGCATGGACTAGAGAAAAAAAATAGACTTCAAGTTTTGGAAATAGTGCATCTTGTAATGCATTTTTTTATCATTAATTTTTAAATTATTCAAGTTTTCTTATATCTGCTCGATCTACACTATTTTTTAAGCTTTAAATATTATAATTAAAGATGAAAATATATTTTTTAGCTAATCAAAGATTTCCAGAGTTGAAATCGTATTTCTCGAAACTATTTGATGGTGGACTCTAATTTGATTGTTTAGAGCCTCGGCTCTATACAAACTGCACCCTAAATTATATTTTTATCTTTAGTTATAAAACTTAAAGCCTCAAAAATAATAAAGACTTGAAAATTTTGAAAATTGATAGTCCAAAAATGGATTAGAAGATGCACTATTTCCAAAACTTGAAATCTATTTTTTTTTCATGTCCATGATGTCAAGATGATCAATTTGATGATATTTGGGCATCAAAACACTCTCTTCGAAAGCTTTGAGATAGGCTCTAATTTGATTATTTAGAGCGTAGGCTCTATATGAACTTTTCCCTTTTCTAACGGGTCCCTTGAAAAAAAACTCTAAAACATATTCATATGGTGTCCTAGAAATCGAACTGGACTCGAAATAGGCCAAGGGTTGGATCTGAGTAACCGGTAAACTAGCCAATTCACTTGGCTTAACCAAATAAGTCTTGGCTAGTCTAAAACGTACTAAAAATAAATAAAAAAGAACATAAAAAATTTAAAAAACATATACAATATATTTAAAACATAATTAAATAAAGTACATCCGGTGAAGTTGGAAAGTAGTGAAAAAAAAGATTTTAAAAACTCAATTTGTGCTTAGGAGTAGTTTTGAAATTTTTTAAAAAAAATATGGATGAAAAAATATAAAAATAAGTATCCATAGCAAAAACATTTTCCAATCTTTGTCAAAATGACAAAACAAAAATACAAAAACACGTTACAAACAAATCCATTAGCTTTTTTAGATTTTTTTAATTTATTTTTTAATACATGACCGAACGACCTAAACCGGCCAAAACTGGATCAGCCAATGCCTAGTTCCGATTTGACCAGCGGGTTTCGAGTTGCACACTCCGCAAAACACTATACGTCTATATCCACAAGTCCTAAAGAGTTTGGCATAATTGTGGATTTGCGTCAAGTCTGTGGAATGCTCGACCAAGATTTTTGTTGAAAAATTGCGTGATTTTCTGTCATCAAGGGATTCAAGGATTTCATATGATTAGATTATTTGCATCATTGTATTTCCAATCAAATTGCTATGAACAATTGTTTCATGTGGGTTGGATGGCCTTTGTACAATATGCTATCTAGAGGTACGAAGCATCTATGTTAAAGATGGATAGATAGTCCATCAAAAACAATCATAACTATCAGTCCAAATGTTTTCTTAATATAATTATTATTTTTAATTTTTAAATTTTATTTACTTTTTTATATTCATGATCTCGATGTTAAAGATTATATATTCTCTAAAAATTAGAATCAAATTATATTTAAAAACTATTTTTATTGCCAAGCCCGCATCTGTACATGTACGGGCTTGACTTCATGCTAACCACATCCTTTTTCTAAATACGTTATAACGGCTCGCTTTTAGCTCCTTTAACATGATTTAAGCCTTTGTCATGCCAAAAATCTAGCTATGGGGACGGAGCTGTTTGAATAGCTTCTAAATAGAACCGAAATTATGAAAAATTGCAAATCCCTATATTTATTATTTAATATTATATATTAAAAATATATCAGTACTATTATAATATTATGGATGTAGTTGCTATAGGGGTGCATCCCTATTTATTGAATTTGGGCTGCAGTCATCAACACCATCCATGTATTTGGACACTACAAATCTCGCACACTTCCTGATGAAGAAAACGAGGCTTCTCAATTGTCATGCACCAATTGCTTCCTTTCGTTTCTATTTTCTTCCTACTCTCCGCCCTTCTTTTAAGCCACAACATAAACAAGTTTTTTATTTTGTAATTGCGTACAATTTGACCATTTACTTTTGGTACAAGGAAGTTACAATTACTTACAGCCGTTCGATATGAAGTCTGATAGCTTGGGTGTGTCATAAAGTTAGAAAATAATTCTTTTGAACATTGAGCTTGGTCAATAAAATAAATATAGCCACTTAACATCACATCCAATGGTCAAGATTAATCATGACCACTTTGTACCAAAGGTAAATGGTCTCATTATATGCTTTCTCTTCTATTTTCTTCATACTCTCTGCCCTATTTTTGGGCCATAGCATAAACAGGGTCGGAGCTGTTCACCTGCTGTGCTATCACGAAACTCTTCCTACTTGGTTCTTATATCTGAGAAAGAAGCATCATATTCTCAAAGAATGCAGTTGAATCTATGACATTGTATTGGTTATAACCTTTGTTCAATAGATTAGTTTTTAGGATCAGCCATTACAGGCTCAAGGGAGAGAAACCCAATTGAAAGGAGATAAAATAATAGAGTATGGAGGGCTATTATTGCTTTAGTGTTCATCTTGAAGTTGCATAAAGGTTCTTAGAGTCAATAATAACAATTTAGAAACAACTAAGTTTTAAGGATTTAAGGTTTTAGTTTTGCAGTCTCAGTTATGGACATGAGGCTCAAGATAATAAGATAAGGTAAAGTCAGTTAAATGAAACTTGTCCATTTATATATGAATACTTCTTGATATTTTTCAGGTTTTAAGTCCCTTGCTTCTTGGGTTGAAATTGGAGTCCTTCTTATTTTTACTAAATGTTAGGCCTACTACTAACGGATTTATTGTTTTTTCTTTCGGGGTTTCAATTGACTCTGATATGTGTTGTTTAGTTTCATTGGGTTTGGCTTCACATTGCACAGAGAGAGAGAGATCAGTCGACTCTGATATCTACTATTTAGTTTCATGGAGAGGGAGAGGAAGAGAGCTCATTCACTATCCTTTATCTTTATGGTGGATTCAGTTCATCTAATTTGAGCTCACTGTTTATCATAGTTCTCAAGTAGAGAGACTAAGTTCTTATCTATTTTCTTTTTTCATGTTTGTAGACACCCCTTTCAAAATTTTAGCTAAAGGAATTCCTAAAACATTTGATTCCGAGTCCAAAGGACCACACAAACCCTAGTAGACCATAGATAACCTAAATCCAACACAATTATCACACAAGTTATCCCAATACCCTCACATAGTCACCTTACACACCCATAAGTCTTGTGAACCCACAAAGATTTCAGTTCATCTCAACCTAGATATCGGTGCTGATCAAAGTGTAAACAATGTTTCTTCGCTTTTTTCAACTATAGAATGTTCGGAAATGGATATTTCGGGTTCATATTGATATACATCATTTTGGATGTATATGTATATATCTCTTAATAAGGTTAGGTATCTAGAAGATATAGACCAAGTTACTTGGTCATCAAGTTATCATATCATATTTATTTCATGTAATTGTGTGATTGTCCTGTATATATAGAGATACTTATTGATGTAAACATTTATCCAAAATAATGAAGATATAGCCAGTTGAGCTTTGGATCTGTGGACGTAAGGCTTCGGCCTGAACCACATAAATGTTGTGTCATCTCTTCTTCTCTCTCCATTCTCCATTCAATGCATGTGCATGTATGCTCCAACATGGTCCCACGAATTCTAACATGGTATCAGAGCAAAGAAGAAAATATGATTTGCTGCCACTATGAGAGCACTATGGTCCACCCATGGAGAAAACCGATTTCATCTCTACTGATCAGTGGCCTTGGTTCTTTTTCCCAAAAATTTCAGAGTACCATCCCAATTCTTGATCTCCTCCTGAGTATTGTCCGCTGCGACTTGGTAAAGCGTTTCCAGCATTATCCGTAAGATGTCGATATACATGATGAATTGAGGAGCCTCTTGAATGAACATAGGTTCCCACCTCATCATGAGAAAAGAAAGCCACATAATTGCTTGTTTTGTTCTTCCTCAAGGGACTGAATCTCCTCCATGAGAAGGTTTCTGTCCTCCTGGGAACTGGCCAAAACTACTTAAAAGTCCCTTCGCTGTACCATTCTTGTGTGGGATTATCAATGGTACAAGATCATCAGCTACATCGTTCAACATTTATATTTATGCATGGTCTTGTTTCATATACCTCACTTCTCAAAATAAGTTTCCTTAACGATTTCACTAAAGCCCCATCAAATGATCCACTTGAATCTTTGCATGCATCCCTCCAAGTAGTGAAGTGAAGCAACTCAAACCTCTCAGCCACATCCCTCGATTTACAGTAAGCGGTTTCAGGGGTATCAATGGGCAATATGCGACGCCATCCATCTTTTGAGAAGAGACGCAAATGAAATCGGCACCATGAATGTGCTCCTTCACCTGAGGGAGTATATCAGAGAAGCTGGACTTGGTTACCTGCTTTATCCGCCATTGTTTTGAGCTCGAGGAGAAGAAGCACCTCCTCAACTTGTGAGGAGAAGAAGCACCTCTGAGGTCGGGATTCATAAGCACCTGTAACTCTCTCTCTTCACAGCTTTTCATCATGCTTGAAGGGTTTATCACCACAGGTTTCCGGCCAAAGAGCCGCTCCTTCCTCTGAAGCTCCTCCTCACAGATCCATCTTCCACCATCATCGATTTATTCTGATTGATTATACCACCCGTAACTATCTCTTC